GGGAGGAGAGGGAGAGCATTTTCATTGCGCTAAATTTATCTACATTCTATTTTACTGAGTAACCTATACTTTTATAGAACTAATTGGCCGTCATTGTTTCTTATTCCAAACCAATCTCTGAACTGTCCAGATCTCTTGTTATTTAGCATACTATATTACCTCCTATTTACCTCGATCCAATTCACTGTTATCGGTTGGATGTCCCCCCTTCACTCACACGCAACCCGTCTATTGTCCAGATCTCTTCTTGTTTCTATGGTTACCACACATTTACCTTGCAATAAATAACTGCTATCCTTTGGTCGTTCTTTCTTCACTCACACCCGACCTCTCTATTGTGCAGATCTGTTTTTTTCTATACTGTGGTTACCTCACATTTACCTTGCATTAAATAACTGCTATGGTTTTGATGTCCTTTCTTCACTGACATGCAAACTCTGTACTGTCCGGATCTGTTCTTGTTTCTATGGTTACCTCACATTTACCTTCTTTCCTATCAAACATCTATCATCCTTATCTCTCCCCCTTCTTGTTTTTTGTGTTTGTTACTCTCTTGTAACACCTCTAATCTTCGGCACTTATTTGACCTTATTGTGTTGCAAGTGCCGTAAAACTCTTACTAAAACAAAAGTCACAGTCACACCCGACCTCTCTAATGTCCAGATCTGTTCTTGTTTCTATGGTTACCTCACATTTACCCCACACTAAATGGTCGCTTTTAAGCACAAGGGGGCTATCCAGAAAAATGCTGTTTTGAGAAAATCGAACGTACGGTTTTTGCCCCTTGTTCAGTTTCTTTAAAAGACAAGGAGAGTTTTCTCTAGAACCAAACAAATATACACACCTATGAAACCAAACTTCTCCTATAGGTAGAGTAATGCCTATTTTTGGTGTAGGTCAAGGTATTTGGAAACCCGAAATCTGGGTTAGCCCTTAATGGCGACCAAATAACTATTGTCGTTTGGATGTTCTCCCGTCACTCACACCCAACCTCTCTACTGTCCAGATCTGTACTTGTTTCTATGGTTACCTCACATTTACCCCACACTAAATAACTGTTATCCTTTGGTCGTTCTTTCTTCACTCACACCCAACCTCTCTACTGTCCAGATCTGTTCTTGTTTCTATGGTTACCTCACATTTACCCCACACTAAATAACTGTTATCCTTTGGTCGTTCTTTCTTCACTCACACCCAACCTCTCTACTGTCCAGATCTGTTCTTGTTTCTATGGTTACCTCACATTTACCCCACACTAAATAACTGTTATCCTTTGGTCGTTCTTTCTTCACTCACACTCAACCTCTCTACTGTCCAGATCTGTTCTTGTTTCTATGGTTACCTCACATTTACCCCACACTAAATAACTGTTATCCTTTGGTCGTTCTTTCTTCACTCACACTCAACCTCTCTACTGTCCAGATCTGTACTTGTTTCTATGGTTACCTTACATTTACCCCACACTAAATACCTGTTCTCGTTTGGTCGTTCTTTCTTCACTCACACCCGACCTGTCTATTGTGCAGATCTGTTTTTTTCTATACTGTGGTTACTTCTCATTTACCTTGCATTAAATAACTGCTATGGTTTTGATGTCGTTTCTTCACTCACACGCAAACTCTGTACTGTCCCGATCTGTTCTTGTTTCTATGGTTACCTCACATTTACCTTCTTTCCTATCAAACATCTATCATCCTTATCTCTCCTCCTCCTTGTTTTTTTGTGTTTGTTCCTCTCTTGTAACACCTCTTCTTTTTTGACCTTATTGTGTGGCAAGTAACTGTTATCCTTTGGTCGTTCTTTCTTCACTCACACCCAACCTCTCTACTGTCCAGATCTGTTCTTATTTCTATGGTTACCTCACATTTACCCCACACTAAATAACTGTTATCCTTTGGTCGTTCTTTCTTCACTCACACGCAACCTGTCTATTGTCCAGATCTCAACTATCGAGGTGGACCTGACAGACACAGGCATCCCCACCCCGCCGGACGCCGGTCAGATGGAAGAGATTACCATCACAGCCGTCCTCGGGGAGGAGATTCCAGAGGCGGAACAGCCGCCCCAACAGATGATCCCTGAACAGGCGCCAGATGAGGTGGCACCCGAGTTTGTGGAGATGTTACAGCCACAGGTGGGTGGTTGGTGGGTGGTGCTGGTGGGGGGGGTGGTGGGGTGGGAGAGGGATGTTACAGCCACAGGTGGGTGGGGTGTTGTACAAGGGAGAAAGGGGGGAGGGTAAGATGAAGGAAAAGTGAAAGGGGGGGGGGGGGAAGATTAAGGGGAAATGAAGAGGAGAGAGAAAAAGAAGAAGAAAAGGAGAAGGAGGAGAAATGGTTGTAGCAATAGACGAAGAAGTAGTAACAAATAAAAGCCGTTGAAATTGTTTAATGTTGTTGAAAAAAAACAAAAAACATTTCCATACTTCATTTATCCCACTTCGTCTTTTATATCCACATTCTCTTTCTCTCTCAAAGCCTTTCTTACACATATTTCGTTCTATGATCTTAATCTCATTCTTCTTCTCTCTTATTATCTCACTTTACCTCATTCCCTCTCACTCTTTCCCACTATCTCCCACTCTCGCCAACTCTCACATTATCTCCCTCTCTCGCACACACACTCTCCCCCTTTCTCCCCCTCTCTCTCACTCTCTCCCCCTCTCTCTCCCACTCTCTCACACTCTCTCCCCCTCTCTCTCTCACACCCCCTCTCTCACACACACTCTCTCAATCTCTCTCC